GGGGGGTGGGGAAGGGGGTTTATTTTGTAAATGTTATAAAACTTTTAATTAAAAAAAACCTCACTCATTCATCTGAAGTAATTACAGGTAGTCCTCTACTTACAACCATTGATTCAGTGACCATTCAAAGTTACAACGGCACTGACAAATGTGACTTATAACCATTTTTCACACTTAAAATTGTTGCAGCATACCCATGATCATGTGATCAAAATTTGGATGCTTGGCAACTGATTCATATTTATGATGGTTGCATTGCCCTGGGGTCATGTGACCCCCTTTTGCGACCCACTGACAAGCAAAGTCAGTGGGAAAGCCAGATTCACTTAGCAACTGTGTTACTAACTTAACAACTGCAGTGATTCACTTAACAACTATGGCAACAAAAGTCGTAAAATGAGGCAAAACTTGCTTAGCAACAGAAATTTTGGACTCGATTTTTGGTTGTATGTCAAGTACTACCTGTATATAAAATCCTATTCAAGGTATTGTAGAGAACAGATGATATTTGATACACCAGAAAACTTGTGACTATTTTAGACCTCCAACTTTTCCTATCTGAAGATAAGGGTGAATGACTGCCGTGGTGAAGCAACATTCGTAATTTCGGGATTTGCTCGTAAGCACTAGGGGGCGCTTATCGCATAACTTCGAACATTCGCTAAGGGAACGCTCGCAACTCGGGAATTATCTGTATATGGATATATGTCCATGTAGTTTTCTTGGCAGCACTATGGAACTATATAATTCTTACTGAACTATAGGCATTAAATAGAACTGTATAGTTTTTACTCACTCCAAAATGCCATAGAATTCCATCTTATGTTTGATTTCTTCTTTGAATGAATAATATGAACCCATATATTCTTCCTGGAAAGCACTCTGAAGAATTGGTGTGTTGACAAAACCAGGACAGATAGCATTTATTCGTACACCATAATTTTTTGCCCTAGCAGCCAGCTGCAAAACAGGAAACTATATTATGTACTATTGTTGAGATATGGTAAAAAAACATTCTTTGTATGGAAAAAATATCAGGTTCTGTCTCTGGCATCTTTAATTCAAAGGAACATTAAACAAACATGTAGGAAACCATGCTGAGCACAGTAGGAAATATCAGAAGAATAAATAATCTGATATGAAATACAAAACAGTTCCTAGATTTATATTGTCTACTGCATTTACAAATATTGTTTCATTCAACCAACATTAACATAATAATACTTTTTATCATTTAAATTTTTGTGCTATTACTGTGTAGTGTTTCATCACTCCTTATTCTTTTGATCCAGTGGACTTCATTTCTCCAGGAGTGTCTATCAGTAATTGTTTCTTGTAAGCTCATATTTCTGTCATCAGTGATAATATATATTCACATAGACTTCTGTGGCCTTTTTCCATTTGCCTTCAATTTTTACAAACATAATGTGAATGTAATGCAATTTTCATTGAGCCATACATATAAAATAGGTAAACCTTAGCTTCATTATTCCAGTAAGCAGTCTAGTTTTACTTCATCAAATACTGAAGATTTGTTTTTCTTTGTGGTCCAGGGTAATCCCAAAAATTCAAAGGCATCAGCTTTTTTTTTTTTCATTCTTTCTAAGGATACATCTTTCACAGCCACATATTACAACCAGGAAACCATGACTTTTGTTGTCAGCATGATGTCCTTACACTTTAATACTTTGTTCAGTACTTTCATAGCTTTTCTTCTAACCAACACACATCTCTTTATTTCATAGCTACAGTAATCATACTTGTAAATGTTTTAGCCTAGGAAAATAAAGACTGTTACAGTTTTTATCTTTTTTTACCTATTTGCAATGGACTATTTGCACTACCATGTTTCCTGAAAGTAAGCCCTAGCTTGATTTTTGGGGGTAGGCTTAAAAATCAAGCTAGGGCATTGGGGGGTGGGTGGAGCCCTGCATCCACTTATCACCTGCCCATTTCTGCAGCATTCCCTGGCCTGCATTTCACTGTCAGAGGCCTTCAGGAAATGTCTCTGCAGCTGAGAATGGAACTCTGGATTTGCCCCGGCCTGTATTTTGCCATCAGAGGCCGTCTGGAAAGGCCTCTGCAGTCAAGAACCAAGCTACAGAAATCCATAGCTCGCTTCTCGGCTGCAGAGGCCTTTCCAGAAGGTCTCTGACAGCAAAATGCAGGCCAGCGGGTGCCACGTGTGTCAATCCAGAACTCCATTCTCAGCAGCAGAAGCAGAAGTGGGCCGGCTGGGTGGGACTGTCAGTGCTGTCGTCACAAGGTGAGACTATGGAAAAGACACCCCCTGAAAATAAGACGTGGTACCTTTTTTGGAAGCAAAAAAAAAATTAGACTGGGTTCTATTTTTGGGAAAACATGGTAGCACTGACTGTTGACATACTGTAATCCTACTTTTGATGGTGGGATTCTACTGATTCTTCTGGTTTTGAACTCTATTTTTACCTATATGCTGTCTCACACCCAAATCTATCATTTGTGAATTATGTTCCTGCCAAAGGAGAAGCTTTTCTTAACATTGATTTTAATCAACTCTGAAGTGTGTGTGTTTGTGTGTGTGTGTGTGAGAGAGAGAGAGAGAGACAGACAGACAGACAGACAGACAGAGAGAGAGACAGAGACAGAGAAATAGAAAGATGGGGTTCATCAAGAAGAGAGCAAAACCTTTTTTTCCACTGTTTATACTCACAGCCACTGAACGTGTAAATCCAATTACTCCATGCTTTGAAGCAGAATACACTGGTTGGTATGCAACTGGCCATAGCCCTTTAATAGTAAAAAAAAAATTAGGAATTTAAAAAGAACTTTAATTTAACTACTTGTAAAAAAATGGTAAAACTATATGGTTTCTTTATATTATTCCATGGATTGACACTAAAAGGGTTAAAAATGGTTCATTTTTGTTAAACCTAGTATTTTTCCATACTTTGGATTTGATCTCAATATTGTTTCTAAGTACATAGGGGTACGAAAGTGACATACAATATTTTAAAATGGATGGATTTTTTCCAATGTGTTTTGGAGACTGAACCTAAATCTTTTTTTTTTTAATTAAAAATTTTATAAAATTTTACAATATAAATCCCCCCTTCCCCTTCCCACCCTTCCACCCCCTCCCTCCCCCGTCACTTCCCAGTGCCAATCACAGGGTTAACAATAACATAATCATACTCTAATTAACATTAATCAACTATTAAAATAACATATCTATAACCTCCTTTAACTCTCTTTTAAACAGTACAATTATTAAAAACAATAATAATAACAACACTTTAATAATTAGAGACTGAACCTAAATCTTAAGCTCTACTGACATTTTGGCTACCACTTCTTACTTATTTTTCCTATATTATGATCACTCAAAAAAGAAATTATGAAAAACGTTTCAAAACTGTATCATTCATGTGAGAAGAAGTAGAGGAGAAACGCTAAGGCTATGATTTTACTTTTATTTCACAAGAATTATTTTTCCAAAATGTCATTTATAGATACTTTAGAGATACATGACAGTATTTTCTGCAAATTGTCTATAGATATTTAACTTTAATTGATTAATTTGTAAAAAAAACAGCCCTAAAATGTCAATGAGTAGAAGAATAATATTATGATATAAAAGCAATCAAATAAATTCTAACCTTGTAGGACATGAAATCACAGAAATAGAAAGAAATAAAATAGAAAGATAAGGTAAAATAATGAAAAAGAAAAATATTTCCTCTCTATATAGATTTTTCCCACCATAACAATTTATACATGTAAATTCACACAGATGGGAAGCGCATTTTGCTGCCTTGATCTAGAAGTATGGACAGTTTTAAATCAGTAGCTGTTAGATAAGAGCTTCCTGCTTTTCCTTGTAAAATCTGTCCTGAATTAGCTTGATCCCAACTACAGAATACACTTTGATCCTCCTGATATATTCCCCTCTGTCCATCATTAAATAGAAAACCATTGGTTCATTGGAAATAAAATGAAAACTGTTTCAAATTACAATAAGGCAAACTTTTCATTAATTAAACAAAATTAGAGCAAACTTTTTATTTCTAATGACGGGTTTGTAATACCATATATGCATTGGCTATAATGAGAAATATTGTCATTTTTCTCTCTCTCTCAGATCTGCCTCTTTGATACATGCAATATAGAAGAGAGATATCACTTTATGACTTTTTCTAATTGTATCTTGCTCTGCAGCACATATTACAATATGGAAGGCCCTACTCTGAACATTATCTCAAAGGGACTTTGGCCTTAATGGGGAAAATGCTCAGGCTAAATTTGCTGTGCTGTGCTGTGCTGTGCCGTGCCGTGCCGTGCCGTGCCGTGCCATGCCGTGCCGTGCCATGCTAAATTCTATGCTACCTTTACTATTGTCCATCTTCTCACAATGGCAAAATCAAAAAGGTTTACATAAAGAAAGGAAGGTCTAACAAAAATGCAAGAGTCTGAGGAATTTCAGGACTCAGGTTAAGTTTGCTCATAGTTCATTGTCAATATAATTAAAACCTGTTGAGTTCAAGGAAATCTTATATTAAGCAACAGAGAGAACCTAAACATTTCATAAAACAAAAGAAAAGTGACAGGCTGTTCTGGAAAATGATGTCATTGTAATCCAGTATGTTTATTCCAAATGTTCAACTTTCAGTAGAATCCTAGATCTGATGCTTCTTAATAATCTAATCTGTAATGTTTCTCAAGGTTGTCTAGACAGTATATCCTTTCCTTAAAAACAATTCAAGATGCTCACAATATTGGAATAAGGGAGCAGGGAGCTAATTGCTAGATTGACTCTGGATTAAAAACAAAGAATGAAATCTTCCAGAACCTTTGGACTCAATACCCACTGATAGTTTTCTGTCCTTTTAAGGTTTTGACAAAAATCTGAGCAATAAAGTCCTTTTCTCTGACTAGAAAAAGGGTGATTTTCCAATGTATAAGTAAGATTCAACAATATTTATGAATATTTCCCCCAAACTTTATGATCAGAAGTTATTTTAAGTTCTATTAATTAATAGCAGACAGGGTTCCAGAAAAATCACAGTATAATTGACTATTATTTAATACTTATATTATTATAACAAATATTCATCCTAAAACAGAGGTCTCTAAACTTGGCAACTTTAAGACTTGTGGATTTCAACTTCAACATGGCTGGCTGAGGAATTCTGGGAGTTGAAGTCCACAAGTCTTAAAGTTACCAACTTTGGAGACCCCTGTCCTAAAAGAATATTTCTTTGATACACTTACTGATTTTAAATAAATAGCTTATTTAGTTGATAGATTATAGGAAAAGCATTGGTATACAAATATTGGTGGCTACCTTGTAAAGTTTTCATTAGTAATCCACTCCAATATATTGGCAAAGTGATAACTGACCATCAGTCTCCTTTTCTAAAAATAAAAGACTTCTGTGGGACTATTTATTTATAGTACTTCTGTTTTTTCCTAAATAAACAATATGCTATTTCTTTTCTCTACTATTTAATAGTTATAGAATCATGACTTTGATGTATGCTGGCTATATGACAACTTTATTTTTGAGGAGAACTTAGGTTTAAAAACAATGTTGATCAGATTGTCAAACCACTCAAGTACAGAAATTCAGAGTATTAACTAGGGAAGAACAAAATATTTGGTAGCAGAAATATTAAATAAAAATAGATTATTCAATTTTGATCGATAGAATAATGTTCTTCCTTGAAGTTTCTGAATTTTACATTCTGTAAGTCTTTATCCTGGTAGAAACACATTTGGAAATGGCTAATGAACAGTGAATCATCTTAAAAATTATCCTTGAAGAAAGGAGAATTAGAAAAAAAAACCCAGTCCTTTTTCAGGCCAACATTTATTTTTCTTGACTTGTTGATTGTCATTCTCATCTATAATTGTTTGACTAAACCATATCCTGTTCACTTGTCTGTGGCTGGTATTATTAGTTTTTTGGTATTTATGTACAATTTTCCTTTAATGGTATAACTTCCCTTGTTTACTTGAACTGGAAATAATAATGTTTAATGGTCACACATTCTCAAAGGTTTTTCAGCCCTTTTTCACTTCTTATCTAAAGCAGAATCTTATTTATGTATATTCAAAAGAAAATACAATTTACCTCAATAGAATTTATTCCAAGTGTATGGTTATTAGTTTGCAAGTGTCTAACTTATGTCAGGAAGACCAGACAGGAAACGTAACCAGCTAAACTAATTCTAATTTATTGTAAAGTTACTGTACATCAATAGAATCTTGCAAGTCTAAAAGTACAATTTTCTTGCAGCTCCTTTATAGGAGTAGTCCCTTCTGATCACATTTTCCTGCCCATTTTGCAGCTATGGGCTATTGCTGTCTCTTATCTAACTGTTCCATATCCAGCTTCTCTTACTCCTCATCTCCTGAAGTGTTTCACATTACCATTACAGTCTAATGTGAATGGCAGGAAATCTCATCATTCAAATGGAAATTTGTGCATAATTTGGACAAAAACAAAAACCTTTTATAATAGTATTCTTTTATTAAACTGTATATTCTGCTCTCACTATCTCTAAAACATTATAAATTTATGAAACAAAGCATACCTAACAATTAGACAGCTGGGAGATTTCATAATTTGGATATGGAAATCTATAGAAAAATTCTGAAGTATAACTTTACATTATTTTTATTATATGAACCTATATAGATATGAACATGTGTGTGTGTGTATTGGGTCATATCTATGTTTTAATATATGTATAAATATATATTATACTATATAATATACTACTTCATTTTACGACCCTGTAATCCCTTAATTCAGAGACGGGGTGACTGGATGGAGCTGTACTACTAATATATGAAATGCAGAAACTATTATTTCCTAAACTTCAAAGGAAGATCCAACAAGACCTCTTTATTTTAATCAACACTGAAAAACACAGTGCAATGACAAATAGAAGCTAAAATAAGAGATCCATATAGCCTATAAGATTCATGAAAAGTTGCTGACTTTTAACCCAGTGTTGTTGGGAACAGCAGACAGTCTACATCAGGGCTTTTCAACCAGTGGTACGGGTAGCACCTGTGGTACATTGGCGCCTGGCAGGTGGTATGCGACCATCCTAGAAAAGTGATAGTGGGGGAGGGGAATGAGCTGAACCGGTGGCAGCACCGCACAAGCCTGAGCGAGAGATGGCTGGAGCTGCAGGGCTGTCAGGGCTCAGCGGAAGCACCAGGATCAGTGCCGCTTTCCAGCTGATCGGCGCTTCTTCGGGGCTGTCAGGGCTCAGCGGAAGCACCAGAATCAGCGCCAGGCTCCAGCTGGAGCTCGGCGCTGATCCTGGCACTTCTGCTGAGCCCAGAAGAAGCACCGATCAGCTGGAATGTTGCAGCATCTCCAGGATCTTGTGATTTACATTCAGATGCTTGGCAACTGATTCATATTTATGATGGTTACAGTGTCCCAGGGTCTTGTGAAGTGTCCAAAACCTGCTGCAACCACCCAGCAGATGGGTGGAATACAAACCAACACCTCCCACCCCACCTCCGCTTCCAATCCCCAACAGAAATGCTCACAACAATGAAAACCTCGAACAGGAGAAAGAGCGCCGCTGGGTGGGCAGGCAGGTGTCTTGCTCAGCGGTGGCTTGGGGGGGCACTTTTTTCAGTGCCATTGTAACTTCAAACAGTCATTAAGTGAACTGTTGTAAGTCGAGGACTACCTGCATTTTATCACTTTTTTCCTTTTTTTTTTTTTTTTTGGGGTCATCAAGTTTTTGACACCTTGCTAGGCGACTGGTGGTACTCGGATATTGCCATATCCTAAAAGTGGTACAATGGGTGAAAAGGTTGAAAAGCCCTGGTCTACATTATATAACAGCAAGTGTGCATGTTTAAGTCACATTTACAGTTTCATTATGTGTAAGAAAACCTGGAGTGTCCTAAAACCATAGAAAATTAAACAAGGTGGTTTAATTTTAATGTTTAATCCTACCATGGGATCAACAGGTTATAGTTTAATTTGTCCGTTCTATTTTAACATGGGCATTTGTAATTAAAGTGATTGCTAGAAGAGAGCTCACTTGTAAAATATGATCACTGGCTCAAACAAGTTTCTGCTTAGGGTATAAACTACAAAGCACAAGCAACAATTTATCAAAGAACTGAGAAATCAGGATTTTCTTGTGGATTTATATTTACGTGCAAGGTGTAATGTTCTAGAAACTATGCATTAATTCCAAGAGTCCAGTGGAAATATAAACTCGATCGCAAATTTTAGCCATGTTTGTAAGCAGGTTCTCCCTAATACACAGTGCACATATACAGGTCAAGGGAAGGAAATTATTATTTTGAATAAGTTTGTTTTGATGTACAGTATATATTTAACACACTAATTGTTAAATATATTTTATCTAACTGAACTTCTTCAGATGGATAATCTGAACTGCAAATCAGCTTAACATACACCTTAGTATTCTCAGAAATCCCCTGCACCTCAAAGGGTTTAGGACTAGGATACTCGGACTTTCCATTCAAAAAATTGGACTTAGCCATTTTATTTTTTCTCTGTTTTTTATTATTATTAATATAATGGTACAACCTGAAGAAAAGCCTTAGATGAGGCCTTTCTTAGGCTCTAGATAACTGCACATAGGAGGGACCTGTTCAGGGATTTCAATATTAAAAGTACTACAGATTTAAATTCTACAGATTTAATGGAAGCAAGTGCAGATGGCAAAGTACTGGAAAAAGATCATTAGATCTGTCTGAGGCAGCTTGGATTAATTTTGATAAAGTCTTTGCATTGCCTCAAGTATTAACTAGCAGTTCCAATACTGAAAGCAAAGAAACAACACAAATTGCCTTAACAATGTGCTTTAATCTTTGATAATAGACAATAGCCATACAAAAACACAGTTCGTTCCTTTGGTTGTTGTAACATTTGGAGTAGGCTTCACAAGACAGGCCAAGTGAAGCAGTAAAGCCATGTTATGTGCTACTGTGTTATCTCTCCTCAATTTTAATTCTGAAATTTTGTTGGGCCTTCACCTTGTCCAGGTTGTATGCACTACCCTCCAGATTCCCACATTCCTTTTCAACAGTGATTATGCCCATGTAGAGATGGCTATAGGAATCCCCCAGTCATGCTCCTGTGTGACTCTCTCTACAGGGAATCTCAGAAGACATATAGATCTCATTTTAAAGAACTATCCTGGTAGAGAGACAAGGCTTATCTTTCACTGTTTCTGTCCAACCAGGCCCCGACATATCTTTCCCACTTTTGCCTAATTTTGTGCTTTCAGTCTATGAATGCAGTTTAGTACAAATGCTGGTGATTGTCACTGTATGATTGTTCCTTTTTACTTTATTTTATGTAATTTTATTGTAGAGTTTGCTGGCTTAAACATCTAATATTATAAAGATTTATTTTTTGGCCTTTTTATTGTTTTTATTGTAATTTCTTTTTTCTCAATATTTTATTAATTTTTATAGATTTTTGATTGAATTTGATTGTTAAACATAGGATAGGGAATTGCTTTAAAAGCAGTTTCAAAAGAATGTTTTTCTTAAAGCTTTTTAAAGCATTTTTTTTTTCATTTGAAGCTCTGCATAAACCTAGAGATCAGAAAACCATATTTCCCCACTAAAATCTTTAATGCTCTGAAATGTTCTACTTTGTCATATCTTTAATCTCATAATTAATGCTGTAACTTCTCATTTATAAGCATATTTTCCATAACAATTATCTTTGGATATGCATAAGTAAGCTGAACCTAGCAGGCTTAAGAAGTCTTATCAAAGGAAAGAACCAACTGATGTAGGTAGAGATATTGTTAAACTCTAACAGAAGTCAAGAGTCAGAGAAACAAAGAAGGACTAATAAATCAGAAAGAAATGGTTGGCCAAGAGCAAGAAATGTTAATATTAACTGTGCAGGAAAAGATAAGAGAACAAGAATAGGCGATCTGAGGAACTATCTCACCCCAATAGGATTGGTTCACCCTACCATGCTGGCAGAAAGGGCATCCTGTGGATGTTGGTCAGGGAATTTTGGCTGGTAGAGTCCAGGAGAAAAAGGGTTTTTTTTGCCAAGCCTCTTGCTCTTTGGAACACTGTACATCCCCGTCCCCACAAGGTGAGACCCACCCTCCTACTGTAAGGGTACTGAAGACCTGGTTGTACCAGTTGGCCTCAGGCCCCAACATGGGTGTCACACTCTGGAAATGGCTATCAGGTTAAGAAAAGCCTCCCAACTCCACCCACACACTTGGTGCTTTCTTCCCCTCCCTATCTTTCTGGTATTAGACCAAATAATATTGTTTTTCCATGCTTCACAATTTCACAAATAAGGGCCACCTAAATGCATGATGGTTGGTGATAGAACTTATCACCTGCCTAAACTATATTAGAAAAAGCTTCAGAAAAGAGGAAGAATTAGAGCCCCCCTCAAAATCTTAATTATTGCTAGTTTTAATGTTGCTGCTATAGATGATTACAATGGTTTGGATGTGGATTTTACATTGTGTTTGGGAATTAAATGTTATGGAAAAGCTTATCCCTTAAAAATAAGGTATAAAGTATATTTTTACCTGCTAATGATGCAGTATTAATAATAGCCCCTCCACTGCCACCATTTTCAATTTTCATGTACTCTAGTCCAATATATGTTCCTCTAATCACTGAAATCTGATGTAGAAAATACAAATGAGTTATCAGATATATTTCATTCTCATAGCTGTTTTTTAAAAATAATGTTTCAGTGTACAACTTGTATCCAATGGTTTTTTTTTCCTCTTTGTGGCCCATGTAACATTATTTCTCATTCTAAGTAGAATCTTTCTTTTGATCTGCTTCCAATTTTGTAATATATTTTTGTTTTAATACATACATGATTCTGAGTGTTCTTTGATTGCTTAATAGATTCCAGAAGCATTTTTGATATCTGCCAACTAACTACAGATGAGCTCCACACCTTTCAAACTGCCAAGGCATTGTAGCTATCATGTAGGAGGTTTCAAGCTTTTTATCAGTTTCCCCCATATCTCCACACTATCTGTTTCATTTAAAGCAATGGTTCCTTGTGATGAGTAACTAAAATAGTCTTGAAAACTATTATCACTTTTATGCTATAATATTTGTTTCAGTCAAAATTGAACGGTTTTGTGATTGGGGAGATAACACAGAAAAAAATCAACAGATGGACATGCAGCTAAAACCAAACATGTATTGAAGAAATTATTCTGAAAATGTCAGTGACTCAATGTGTCATGTTTTGAATATTATTCTATGAATTAATTATTTAATTCATCATACTTTTTATTCCCTCTGCTGACATTCCTGAACCAGTAGTGTAATGACTACTTCTGGGCCAGTTTGTTCTTAACATTGACAATAGACACAGAAGAACTGTTTGTAGTTAGTCATCAAACAGTATAACACTCTCTCACCAATCATTTTGGATGAATTGGATAATCCTTCTGATGCAGTTATAATTTGTCATAATTAATAGCAATAGCAATAATAGGCAAGCAAAAACAATTATGTATTGGGAGGAGAAGATATATATAAGTCAACTGTCAGCACTGGAAATAATTAACCTGAAAATGAATATCTTTTAAAAATAAAATTGTCTTCGTGGGACAACTATATCATAGCAGAAAACAAACATTGCATTCAGATGGCCTTAGTTTAATTCTGATTTCCTAGCTCAAAGGAATCTACAATCAACCAATCTATTATTCAGAGTACTAAACTAACTTGTTGTAAGATAGCTATATTCTTCACTTTTCGTTATATATATATATATATATATATATATATATATATATATATATATATATATATATATATATATATATATATATATATATATATAT